ACAGACTGAAACGGCCAAACACCTTTAAAGAAGCCACTGATATAGCTATAGTCTCATTCATCGACCATCAGCAGAGGTGAAAGAATCTGCAAACCCAGTAGGCCTGGCCGGAATGCTTCCTTTGCTGTCTTCCAAATCCACATAGCTCATGTCCTTGCCTTCAGTCTCTTGCCACCCTTTCACCATCTGAGTGAGCGGCAGGCTGTAGTCAATCCCACAGTACTCTTCGGGGTCATCGTCCAGTGGCTTCCATTTCTCGACCAAGGGTGCAAGCACATTGACAGCGTGTCCCATGTCGGGTCTTTGGCTGGGTTCCCTTGCTGTGCAGTGGCCTGCGAGCTCTGCGATCGTCCAGATGCTTTCGAATGTCTCGTCGTTTGGTTCGAGTGCTGGGTCGATGGCATTCCTCAGCTTCTGCTTGTCCGATTTCACGTGCCAGAACCATGCTGCCAGGTACTGCTTTTCCTCTGATCGGTCTTCGTCTAGTGCTACCAATCCGGTGAGCATCTCCATCAGGACGACACCGAAGCTGAACACGTCCACCTTCGTCGTGATTTTCCCAGTCACTGCAACCATTTGACATGATAACCATCAGTTAGTACCAATGCAAATTTAACCAGCAGTTTGTTCCATATGATTATGAGAATTCATTGTTTTCCAGACCTCCATAAGAAGTATCACGGTCAATAATCTTAAATCCAACATTCGGAACAACAAAGGTTATGAAATCCCTAACAAATGTCATGAGCCATATAACTTTTCAACTCCATGGTTTTGGTGAAATCCATCACTTTTCAAACCTAACATTCCAAATGACACCCAAATAAAAACTGTGTTGCAAATTCAGAACACAAGAACAATGAACTATGTACTTGTCAATTTGCTTACCAGCATATTCAGGTGCCAAGTATCCAAAAGTCCCGGCAAGCCTAGTCTCCACAGATTTCTCACCATCCGGAGCAAGTTTCACGAGTCCAAAGTCTGAAATTTTCGCCCTAAAATCATCAGCGAGCAAGATGTTCGAAGACTTAAGGTCCCTATGTATGAAGCTCTGATGAGCCAGAGTATGTAGATACTCGATCCCTCTAGCAACATCTAAAGCAATATTCAGCCTCCTCTTCCAAGAAAGAGGCTCCAACTGAAAGCTCTTCCAATGGAAAAGATGCCTGCTGAGAGCTCCCTGAGGCATATACTCATACACAAGAATCCTCTCATTACCTTCAACAGAATACCCCAACAACGACACCAAATGCCGGTGCCTAACCTTTGAAAGAACTGTAATCTCGGATTGAAACTCATCCAATGCTTTATTACTAATCACACCAGACTCCATTCTCTTCACTGCTATTTTGGTTCCATCATCGAGCTCTCCTTTATACACCACTCCAAACCCACCACGGCCTAGCTCGTTCTCAGGTGCAAAGTTCTTTGTCACATTACGAAGTACTTGAACCGATATCACCAGGTTCCCGGCCTCGATGAAGTGAGAATCCCCAAACCCGCTGCTGTACATTGAACCACCGCTTGCTGTTCTTGTGGAAGAGCTTGCACCGGTGTTGTCATTGTTAGCAACCACGATCTTAACTGTGTTGTTGTCCAAGTCCGATGGGTCTCTTGGATGAACGACGAGGGAATTTGGAGCTTGGAACGTGCCTCTACTCTTCCGGTAACAATATATCGAAAGCGGGATAGCTAGCATGGCCATGAAAGCTACACTCGCAACAGGAGCTAAGACTGCAACTAGAATGGACCTCTTAGGGGCATTTTGCTCAGAAGAGGAACCACCATTGTGGGAGCCTCCATTTGATCCAGAATCGGGAGAAGATGATGGATTTTTGCCTGGAGCAGACTTCCCACCATCAACCAACAGAGGATTCCCAGTGGTTAGAAGTTGGACAGTGGTGGAGAACTTTGGCAATGGAGGTGAGATGTTGTTGCCACTGAGATCCAAAGTCTTTAGAGATGCCAGGCTAGTCCAGCTTTCTGGTAATGGGCCTGTTATAATGTTGCCTTCAAGTTTGATTTGAGTAAGAGAAGCAAGTTTACCAACTGAAGGGCTTAAAATTCCACTGAGATTGTAGTTAGGCAGAACAATGGAATCAACTTTGCCATTCGGATTACAGCGAATCCCAAGCCACGAAGAACACGGATCATTACCAGTCCATGAAGAGACTAGCCTGGAAGGGTAATTCAAACCATCGAGGAAATCTATGAGTGTCATGACTTCATCAGCACATGGAACTCCAGCTGTAGACTGACAAAATGAATTTGAACTGAAGGAAACTTTAGCCGCTTTGAACTTGGGTATAGGCCCCATCAACCTATTATTATTCAAATCCAGCTTTAGCAATGGCAAATCAGCTAAGCTAGAAGGGACTAACCCGACAAGTCGATTACCATTGAGATTTAGATCCTTCAAGCTAGTCAAATTACCAATGCTATCAGGGATGGGACCGTTGAACTGGTTTCCATGAAGCCATAGAGTGGTAGCAGATTCCATTGTTGCAACAACATCAATAGGACCGGTCAATCCATCGCCGTTCTGATCATTCAACCACAGCATTTGCAAAGCCGTGTTGTCCTTGAAGCTTGCTGGAAGCTCACCGGTTATATTGTTGTCCGAAAGCAACAAGTTTTGTAGAGAGACAAAACTCCCCAGGAAATCAGGCAACGGACCAGCCAAATTACAGCTGCTACATGTAAAATTGATCAACTGTGCAGAATTCAGCAACCCTTTAGGGATTGACCAACCAGTGGTAGCATTGAACTTGTTCCCATCCAATGCCAGAACTTCCAGACTGTCGAGGCCATCGAAGAAATCGGAGGGAATCGAATCGAAACCGTTGTAATCGAGAAAGGCGTACCTAAGCTTGGACAAGCCCTTGAAGGAAGGCAATGGCCCAGTGAATTGGTTCCTCTGTAGCCCCAAATTGTCCAGCATGGCAAGCTTGTTGAAGTCCTGTGGCAGAGTGCCTTTCAAGCTCATGCTCTGAACTTGAATCTGGGTAACCCTTGAACCAGAACAGATGACGTGTTTCCACGTCTGACCACAAGGGTCTTCGTCCCCGCCAGGTTTGGGCCATTCCAGAAGCTCCGGATTCTCCAACCCTTCCCTGAATTCCTTGAGGACAGCTAAGTCGCCAGGGTCTGTAGCGGCGAGAATCACTGGAACAATGGAGGAGAAGAAGAAGAGGAAGAAGGGTAGCACGAGATTGTTGAGGCAGCTGGTTCCCATGGCGGTAGATCTGCGGAGCTCGATTTTAGTTCATGAATCATCACCATTTGAAGTGAAGAGCAAGATTCATGTCAGCAAAACCACTTCTTTTTGCTGGTTCGCTTAAAACCCATCTCTGGAATTAATTTCCTCCATTGAACTGCAGGGGGGCAGGCAAGGGGAACAAAAGGAAAGCTTCGGAAGTTAGGAAAAGGCGCAAGCTTTCAGTGTAAAGATGGAATACAGAGGGTGAGGGGAAGCTAAAACATACAAGTTAGGACAACCCAAGAAAAGGGGAAGTCAAATTTCTGGTTAAAGAAAGCAAAAGTTGCAACCTTTTGTTTATCTTCGGGGCAGAAATTTATACCACTGCTCGATAATGAATAAAATTCTGGGAAGAGAGCATTTCTAGCTTCGCTTGCAGCCACGCACACAGACATAAGCAGCAGCCACTGGCTTGCTTCCGCTTTAATATGTATGCTTCGCTCTTCTTTATTTCTAACTTTCCTTTTTGGAAGTTTGTTTCTCTCTCTTCCTCATCTTTTCTTTGTAAGTGCAATACAGTAGAGAGGGGCGACGAGAGAGAAAGGGGTCAATTTTGTATTGGGGGGGTTGGGACATGGGCGAATTAGAGGTGAATGGAGGTGGACAAGGAGGAATTGCGGGAATTTCTTTTTTTAATTTCTGTAAAAAGAAATTATCCACTGGGGGGATTCTTTTCTTTCTGTGCTTGCTTTTTTAAGGAAGTAATATATTTGTTCTTGTCTACTTCATCTGTGGACTTTATTAGAAATTACTATAATGATAATTATGGATTTGATTGTATTAATTACCATTATTAATCATGAACAGTGTCTTTCTTGGTTTAATCAAAGCCACGGTTGAGTCTAATCTAGGATTTTGAGCTCCGTGACCTCTGCCCTGCCTTGTTTTGTACTGGAAGATGACTTAGATGAGTATACATATTGGATATTCAATAGTAGAAACAGGTTAATTAGGGTTTGTAGATTATAGTAATTACTGTGTAGTGAATGATATATGGATTGATTGATTGAATTGTCAGTATTATTTAAGAATAGTTGATTATACAGCATAGACCTTCGTGACCAGGCCTTCTTTTACATGTCTTGCACAGTTGTACTGCAAACAACGTCAGATGATTGACGTTTAAAATAGTTAAAAAAATAGTAGTTTTTTTTTTACAAAAAAAAATATGAATACAATGATTCAGAAATGGAGCAGCAAAGAGCATGGAGAATAAGCTTATCTTGGCGATACCAGCGTCGGTACGCGGGATTGGGCTTTGTGGTGTTGTCTGCCGTGATCATTTGAGCAGGGGCGACACCAGTGCCGTCGATGAACGCGATGAGATCTAATCCCATCAACAGCGTCTCCAATTGAGATCTCCAGGAATGAAAGTTGGTGGAGGTGAGCTTCAGAGGTAGCTGTGCAGCCGGATTGAAGGTGATGATGGAGTCTTCGGCAGCAGAACCATGACCATCGGAAACAGAGGAATCAGACATGATGAAACAGAGTGATAGGGGAGAAGAAAACGAAGAAGGGGGAGCTGGATCGAAGCTAGTTGATCGTGGCTAGCTCTGATACCATGTTAGAGGTTTTTGGAATTGAATATTGTTTCTGAAGATGATACTTGATTATCATTGATTGGAGTACAACGTTGATATACAGAGGAGATGAGAGTTTCTAGCAACAGAAAGTTGCCCACTCCCTCACGTTCCCACAGCTTTCTTTTCGCAGGGCGGCTTCCGTCGCGGCAGCGGCGGCAATGGAAATCGTGGCGGCGGCATCTTCGCCCGACCCGGGCAGCGGCAGCAGTCGCAGGGTTTTGGAGGAAGTCAGCCGTTGCATGGCCTTGGCGGAGAAACTGGTCACTATGCTCCTCCAGCCCGCGGCCCACACTCATTTAATCAGGCCCATTCATTTAATCAGGTCCACTCACCATACTCTCATCCTGCAGCTGAGCCCAGTCCGCCACGCAAAGGAGTTGTGATTTGCCAATACTGTGAAAAACAAGGCCACTCCGTGAGACAATGTTTCAAGTTGTTTCCTCAAGCTCGACAAGCATTTAATCAAGCTCGTGGGCAGGTCAATCATACCCTCACCACAGGTTCTTCTTCTGCGTCTGGGCCCTGGTTAATGGATTCTGCGGCCTCTCATCATGTTACTTCAAATCTGGGCCAACTTTCTCTCTATTCGGATTATTCAGGCCCGGATGAGATTCTTGTTGGTGATGGATCAGGTTTGGCAATCTCTCATATTGGATCTTCTCATATTGTTGTTGGTTCCAATTCATTTCACTTGCAAGACATATTATGCGTCCCCAGTATCAAGAGGCATCTCATATCTGTTGCTAAAGTATGTCGCACTAATCCGGTCTCTGTGGAATTCTTTGCCAATTATTTTCTTGTGAAGGATCTTCGCACGGGGGCGCACTTGCTGAGGGGGGAAAACAACGGTGATGTCTATGAGCTTCCTCGTGAGGTGGAGAATGTTCGACTGGCCCTGGTGACAACTCGCACGTCCGCATCTTCCTGGCATGCTCGTCTCGGTCACCCTTCCCACCAATCCCTTACTAGCATCATTCGGTCTAAATCTCTTCCAATTTCGTCTTCTGTCGCTAGCTCTCATTGTGATGCTTGTCTTTCAAATAAAAGCCATAAACTACCATTTTCCATTTCCTCTTTATCAAGTGAACGACCTTTTGATTTGTTATACACTGATGTTTGGGGTCCTGCTCCTGTTTCTTCCATTGATAATTTTCGTTATTACCTGGTTATTATTGATCATTTTACTCGATATACCTGGTATTATCCTCTTCGTCTAAAATCTGATGTTCTTCAAGTTTTTCTTGATTTTAGGAAGATGGTTGAAAATTATTTCTCTACCACTATTCGTCGTCTCTATACGGATGGTGGTGGGGAATTTCAAAAATTGCGTTCTGATCTCATTAATAATGGCATTACACATCTCCTCACTCCACCCCACACACCAGAACATAATGGCCTTGCCGAACGAAAACATCGTCATTTGGTTGAAACAGGTCTTACTCTTCTTCATCATGCTAAACTTCCTACATCCTTTTGGTCGTTTGCTTTCTCCACTGCTATATATCTCATCAATCGTCTCCCATCGTCCTCTCTTCGTGGTAATATTGCCTACATACTTCTATTTAATTTACAACCCAATTACCATAAACTGCGGATTTTTGGCTGTCTATGCTATCCTTGGCCTCGTCCCTACTCTGCTCACAAATTAGATCCTCGCTCCCGTCCCTGTCTTTTTCTCGGGTATTGTCCGCAACGCAGTGCCTATCGCTGCTTTGATCCCTCTACTCATCGTGTTTTTCTCTCTCGCCACGTTATTTTTGTTGAGACTACTTTCCCAGGTTACACCGCCTCACCCACCCAAGAGTCCATCTCGGCTGCTTCTTGGATGCTCGATAACTCCCCCACCATCATGTGCTTACCAGGCTCTTCCGTCTCCACCTCTCAGCATGGGCCATCATCAACTGTCTCTCCTCCCGCAGCAACTCCCCCTGTGTGCAGTCCATCCCTGGTTGGGCCATCCACCGCTGGGCCTGCCTCCTCCTCGGCCTCAGGTGGCTGTCCGGTAGTTGGGCCCTCCACCGCTGGGCCTGCACCTGCATCATCCTCGGCCTCAGGTGACTGTCCGGTCACCCCTCCCTCTGGGCCCCAGCCCCCCACTGCTCCACCTCCTGTTGTCCGCTCTCACAATATGCGTACTCGCGCACATGCCGGCATTTTCAGGCCTAAGAAACGTCTTTTTCATGCTGCTCTTGATCATGGGCCCCCTCCCCTTGCTCCTGCTAATGTTAAAGAGGCTCTTCGGTATGCAGAATGGGTCGATGCTCTTCGTGCCGAAAATTCTGCTCTCCTGGCTAATCACACTTGGGATTTGGTGCCTCGACTTCCCCATTATAATGTTCTTGGTAACCGGTGGGTCTTTCGTGTCAAATTTCTTCCAGATGGCTCTATTGAAAGATTCAAAAATCGCTTCGTGGCCAAGGGGTTTCATCAACGGCCGGGACTTGACTTCACTGACACTTATAGTCCGGTTGTCAAACCAGTCACTGTTCGCACTATCTTCACCATTGCTCTCTCTCATGGCTGGTCTATTGCTCAGTTTGATGTTAATAATGCGTTTCTCCAGGGTCCCTTGCAGGAAGAGGTTTATATGGTTCAGCCCCCCGGCTTCGTCGATCCCTCTCGGCCCACCCATGTTTGTCGCCTCCGTCGCGCCCTCTATGGTCTTCGTCAAGCTCCTCGCGCTTGGTACACCGCCCTAAGTCAATTTCTCACTGAGTTCGGCTTCCGTAAGACACACTCCGATGCTTCTCTCTTTGTCTACTCTCGCGGGCTCGTCTTACTATATTTTTTGGTCTACGTTGATGATCTCCTCCTCACTGGGAACGATCCTACGACCCTCCATACCTTCCAGCAGGCTCTCTCCACTCGTTTTTCTCTGAAGGCACTCGGTGATGTTAATTACTTTTTGGGCATTGAGGTGATTCCCACCGCCACTGGCTACTTACTTTCTCAACATAAATATATGGTGGATGTCCTCAGTCGTTTTCTCATGACCGACGCCAAGGCTGTTGATACGCCAATGACCTCATCCAAGACTCTCACTCTCACTGACGGAAGTCCACCACCGATGCTACTCGATTTCGCCAGGCTCTGGGTGCTCTTCAAAATCTTGTCTATACCCGACCGGACATTGCCTATTCTGTCAACAAGCTCTCTTAGTATATGCATGCACCGACTACTTATCACTGGCAATGTCTCAAGAGGCTTCTCCGCTACATCTCTGGCACCATCACCTACGGCCTCTCCATTCGGCGCTCGGTCACTCCTATGTTACTCTCTGCCTTTGCCGACTCCGACTGGGCTGGTAATCACGATGATCGCTCCTCCACCTCTGGCTATCTTATCTACCTCGGCTCCACTCTGGTCTCTTGGCGTTCCCAGAAACAGCGAACGGTCGCTCGCTCTAGCACCGAGGCTGAATACCGTGCCATTGCTCATGCCACTGCCGAATTGGAATGGCTCCAGAATCTTCTCCATGAACTTCACCAGCCGGTATCTTCCACACCACGCCTCTACTCCGATAATCTAGGCGCCACCTATTTCATCCGGTCTTCCATTCGCGCATGAAACATCTCGCATTGGACTATCACTTTGTTCGACAACTCGTCCAAGCCGGCCGCTTGCAGGTCTCCTACGTCCCCACTTTGCATCAATTGGCCGACGCTCTCACGAAGCCCTTACCAACTGCTCGTTTTCTTCTCCTGAGATCCAAGATCGGCGTCGTTGATTCCTCCTCCGTCTTGCGGGGGCGTATTAGAGAAAATAACTAAAAGCATTTTTAGTTTATTTTTATTCTTTCATTTTTCAGTTCCTATTGTTGTGGAACGTGAGGGAGTGGGCAACTTTCTGTTGCTAGAAACTCTCATCTCCTCTGTATATCAACGTTGTACTCCAATCAATGATAATCAAGTATCATCTTCACAAACAATATTCAATTCCAAAAACCTCTAACAAACGATTACAAATTTACAATGGCCTATATAGTGCAACTGCAAATTAATTTTTAGTTGCTTAATGCTGCTGGTGCACTGCTTACACCCCTCAATTTCTCAAATGATGATACACTAGTTTTGTGCCCATAACAAAGCATTTCATTGTTTTTATTTTTTTAATTATTTGTTATTTTTTACTGGTGTCAGCTTTCTACTTCTTTATATTTATTTATTCTTACTATTTATTACTCAAGTTTCAGGTGATACGGTCATTACATATATTGTGTGTTTAATGAGGATCAACAATAATGTCAAATAATAAGAGCCGTGAATTCATCGCCAATTGGAAGATCAATTTCACAACCATCTGATATTCAATTAGCCAAAAAATTAAACTTCATAAATTGTACATGATCTTTCTTTGATTTTTTCTTTGATGGATATGGATTCTTAGACTAAATATTGCAAGTATCTAACATTTTCTTCAATCGAGGGACAACAACTTCACGTAAATAATTCAAATTATTATATATCATTATCGCATAAAGTCAATTTTAAACTTATTTCTCGATTGATAAATGTGTAGCTCAACAAACTTAGAAGTTAAATCTAGAATATCCGGATGATGATAATTTTTTTTCCATTTAACTGTACGTACATACCTTAAGGAACTGATGAGGTTGTTAAGAAGAAGAAAGTTTGATTTTTGTTTATTTACAACAAAGCGAGGCTTTTGAAATGATATAATTATTTTTTTCGAGATCTACATTTCCTTTATGACTTAACATAAAAATAAATTGACATTTAATTGTAGGAGGTCCAAGAGTGAAAAAAGTACATTTTTGGTAACTAAGCACCCACAAAATAAGCATAGATTAGATAAACAAAATAGTTAGATAATTGCATGAGATCTCATGAGCATCTAATCAATGTGTTGTTGCAATCCTACACACCAAACTATACAACAATAATGTCTTCTTAGTCGTTTGTCCTGGGTTGACAATAAGAGCCGCCAATTCATCACCAATTTGAAGATTATATTCTCGACCATCTAATTTTCTATTGGCCAACAGTTCTAACTTTAGATGTTGACTATCTAGGTTAATCTAATGGACAAAATTACTCAAAGATACTTTTTAAGTTTAAAGGCTTAAGGACTTGAAATCATCTCGAACATTTTCTGTGCATACAAAATATACATTGGAATCATTTAGTTGCTGGTCAGTAAACTCAAAAGACATAAAAACAGTGTTTACACCTATTTTATTGTAGATGTGACAATTTTCTATCCAATCCATCAATTCAATTAACTAAAATATTCAACTAATTCAATTCGTTGAATCCAAATTCAATTGGATTGGTGGATTCATGGATATTTGAAAGTTACAATTTAGTAACTATTCTTTTAATATTTTATTGATTGATAACTAAATTTTAAACTTTTAATGAAA